AAAAAAAAACAAAAAAAAGTAACAAAATGTTGATTTTTGCTAGATGTTCAATACTTAAGAAGTAGTTAGCCATTGCCAGAGCCAGGTTTCCTTCAGTTATCTGGTTCTCACAGGGTGAAGAATGTAAGAGTTTTTTTCTTTTTTGTCTTTTCTATAGTGTGGATTTACTGAATATTCAATGTGACATGACTGTTCAAAGTGTCCTCCAGATGTATTCACCGGTCAGGCAGAGGGCAGAAAACAGCCGCTGTGTTTGCTGTCGTGAACGAAAACTTAAAAGAAAAACTAAAACGGTGCGTTGAAGTCGATTGTTTCTATCAAAGCAGCTTAAAAGGGTTGGGCCTTTTTCTGGACCAAACCACCTCTACAAGCAGGATGAAACGTTTGATCACGAACCTGCTGAGTTTAAAAGCTCAACCGGTTGCTGTAACATGAGTTAGACCATTGAAAAATCCTGATTAGGAGTCATTAAAATGAATCTGAGAACAAAAGTCTGGCAGATATTAGTCTTCCTACTTTATTAACCCGCTTTCACCGACTAAAATAACTCATTTTAATATTTTTTTTCTTCAGCCCAATAAATCCAGTTAAACCTTTACTTTCTGAGTCAGGTACTGTGTGGGAGGAAGGTAATGGTAAATTTTCCAGCTGCGAAGGAAAATCCTCACACTTGCAGGAAACGAGCTGAAAGGCTGAACAACATGACACAAAACAAATCTTGACTTCAGAGGTCACGTTTACAGCAGAGCGTGGTGTAAGAGCTGCAGCCACAGCAGCCGGGGAGTCCTGCTTTCTGCAACGAGGTTGAAAAGTTTGAGACTAAACTCGGGAGCAGATTTCTGTCCTCTGTCTGACCCTCAGGCGTGGTGGTCCTCACCAGGAGCTCATCCTGTCTTTATGTCGTGTTTGTTCCATGTTGGTGAAGAACAGTTGAACCCACTGCTCCATCCTCCAGTGTGTGTGTGTGTGTGTGTGTGTGTGTGTGTGTGTGTGTGAGTGAGTGGTCAAGTGGTGTAAAGTGTCTTCTATTCAGCAATATATTGCGATCTCACTGGAAGAGGGTTTATTTTGGTCCCGACATGTTGTATTTTTAGTAACTTGACTCTGAAGAGGAGAAAGTTCAGGAAGATGCTGATTGGTTAACGAGAACGCTGCCCGAAGCATACGGAGTTGTGAATCTTCTGCTCGAGCTGAAAAGGTTTTGTTTTTAAAACTGGAATATTTCACCTGAGCTCTGATTGTAGTCACTGCGAGGAGGAAGGAGTGGTGATGTCAGGTGTAAATATTCCAGTGGTAATTGGGGTGGGGGGGTTAAAACAAACAAAGTATTTATAGAATTATGTACAGCTTTGGCAATATAATAAAGTTGTCCTAAATGAAGCTTGTGGTGTCTTTCTGAAACAAAAAGTAGAAATCTGCTGGTTTATTATAAGTTAACTAACTAAATAATGAAAACTGAAATTGAAAAAACATTTTTAACTGAAATAAATAAAAACTGCAATAAAATGAAAAAATGAGAACTAACTAAAACTAACAAATCCAAGTTACAAACTAATTAAAACTGGATCAGAAAAAATGTCAAGTAAATTAAACTATAATGAAAAATCCAAAACTATTATAAGCTTGATTCAGAYGACTCAAAGCAAAGTTTAGTTTTAAAAGTAATTTAATTGGCAGAATTGTTTTTGATAAGACATTAGATTTCTGTAGATGAGATCAAACGAACATGCTGTGGTGACAGGACATTTCTGGATTTTGAAAACAGGCAGKTCCAGAACATGGATCAAACAAACAGAGGTAGCATAGCTATAGCAGCTTTAGACATWTACTGGTCTAATTCCAATATAATCCAGAGTGGGATTATGTTCAACTAATGAACAATGTAAGAAAAATCTAATCAAAGAAAATGGCACATGAAGGACTTTTGGTTGGTGCTGATCACCAGAAAACAAACTTTTTAAAGGGTCGCTCTGTCCAGCTCTGTGTGTGTGTCTGTCGGTGTGTTTTTTAAATCATTTTATAATTTTTTAATAAACACACACTAAGCTAGAAAGTACAACACTTTTACATCTTGTTTTCTCTTCAACTCTTAGCCATAGCAGGTTTTAGACACGTCCTGAACTCCTGGGAAACTCAAACCAAATATTTTCCTGTATGTGGAAAATAGGAAGTGAATCTGTAAAAACAAACTCTTAGGCCAAATATCTCATCACAGCATGAAATGATCAGAAGGGAAAAAAGTGTAATTGTAGACAAGTGTCAAAATATAAAACACTTTAGGTTAAAAAGAAAAATCTGAAAGCACCTTAAAATCAGAACGAGGCTTTTTGCCCTCTTTGCATTGCTGTGTTGCACAATGTACACATGWAAAATTTACAAATGTTTGTCCCCCTAATAAACTTTAAATCATTCTGTCCTATCAAAAATATAATTTGAGGTTATTTACATTAGTTGCTAACTGAACACAGCAGAGTCGGACTGTAGTGTGAGCTGTCCTGTGAGTCAGCAGTGATCAGACAGAGCTGCAGCTTCAGGGAGGGGCTGCCTAGTTAAACGTGGCCTCGTGTCCACAGCTGGCCTCCTCCTGCACGGTCCTGCGCAGAATCCTGAGACGAGACATGACCTCGTCCCAGTCCAGGTAGGCTCCTTCCAGGAGTCTCAGCCTGTCGGACCTGCTGATGAAGTTCCTCCTCCCGTGCAGCAGACGCCAGTTGTCGAAGGTCACGATGTCACCTGAGAGGAAAGCCTGACAGTCAGATCTGTTTGTGCTGGTGTACACGCTTCTACAGTAATCAAGTTTTATTCATCTCCACTTGTATGTTACACACACGGTGTTTACCACATTACCACAATCAAGGGACATTTAAAAAGTTCCCTTGATTTGGATTTTAAATGAAGAACTTGGTCATGATTTTGCCTGAGTCACTGTGAGGGAACACCTCATTATACAGATAAACTGACAAGAAAAAGCTAATTTTAAAGTATTACAAATGTGAAAAAGGAACAGTTGAAACAAACGCTGAACGTTTTGATATATGGATTGTTCAAACTGCTGAAGAACTGTGGARCATAAAACCTAAATAAAAAGAAAATGTTTTAAAATAGAAAATACATCTAAATTATCTTTAATATCACAGGGCTTTTCCTCCTTGAATAGTTTTTATTCTTCAGTAAATTATGGGTGAGTGGCTCTCCTCCCGACCCCTACCTCCACCCGATTTGGCCCGCAGGCCATCAGTTGGTGATCCCAGCTTCATCACTTTTCACAGAAACACAAACTGACTCTACGAGGTCATCGTTATCCAAGAAAACAGGAGCTACGCTGACAACCTTCATGTTAACTTTCATAAAGTAAAGCTGAACACGTTTGATGAGCTGGAAGACGTTCACGTCCATCTAAGATGGATCAATAAAAAGGACAGGGCTCCTAACGTCACACACGTTCATATTGTATCATGCAGGACCGACCATCMCAGCTGCTGAACCTCAGTCCTGATTGTGCAGTTCTAATTTTACAACAACTTCATCAGGAAGGACGCTTGAAATAAAGCCGTGGCAACTAACGGCACCGTCCTTCTACGCTCTGATGTCCTGAATCTGTCCTCCACCATCACGTCTTCATCTCAGTCACTGGATGCTGCAGAGCTCTTCCTGAGCACAGATTTATTTCGGGACTTTCAGCAGACCTGGGTAATTTGATTTGTCCGACAGAGACAGAGAAGGCAGTGACGTGGAGTGTCACGATGACCTTAACGATGATAAAAGTGTTGTTGTACGCCACTGGAACACAATACGTGCTGTTTACCATTACACCGAGTCTCCTCCTGCACTACGTCTCCTCATCCTMGTCTGCCTTCTTTGTTTCCACACAGAATCACATCAGCCAGATTAAAAAATAAATAAACCTAACAAAGTGGGGCTCGGCACGATGACAGGAACAAGCTGACCTGGCTCCATCCTGTAGGTGACCACGTTGTCCCGTCTGTTCATGATGTCCACATAGGCCTTCAGCGCTCTGTAGAACGGCTGGACGTGATGCAGGGGGAGGTCCAGCACAGAATCTCTGGTGGCRTTGTTGTAGTTGATCCTCGTGACTCGGCCCTGAGCATCAACGCTGCGCAGACACAATCAGAGTCAGACTCACTCTCTTTTCCAGTCTCCACTGCAAGYATTTCTTTTTAATCAGTGACATAATCAAATGTGTAAGCCTTTAATGAAAACTATACTGAGATTATAAGATGTCATTAATTATGGCTGCGTTGTAGACATTTGATCATTTGTGCTTTTGAAGTCATCCAGTTCTTCAGGTTTGTTTTTATTTTTGGCTGCATGTTCAAAGATAAGARAACAAATAACCATCAGAGAGTAAATGTGAAACCTGATGATCTGRTTAAAACAGAACTATAGTGCTGAAGTGTTAATATGTCATTTTGGAGGTCATACAGAGTCAAAGTGACAATATTAACTCTGACCAGAAGATGGCAGTGTCTCCATTTCAAATCTCAGCCATTTGCACACAGTGAGACAATCTTTCTGTTTTTCGATGCTTTTTCATATGTTTTGTTGTTGTTTTTTTTAATGGGGAGATGAACAGTGTGAACCTTTGCTTTGTTCATGCGTGAAGAGGATAAATATTGACCCGACAAGCCGTCAGCCCTTACTCGATGATGCGGTTCTTGGACTGCAGCATGAAGTCGCAGTAGTCTGTTCCTGTGTCGATGAAGTCCACATGCAGAGAGGTGAGTGTCCTGAACGCCTCCGGGTCTTCTCTGCGCAGCTGCTCGGCCATGTGGAAGCCGTCCACCACCTCGCTCTCACCTCCTTCCATGGCCTGGCTGATGCAGTGCAGAAACTGCACCTRTAGGACACAAAGAGCAGACACAAAGTCGTCCCGGTTCTGTTCAGTCRTCTAAAAAGCAGGGGGCAAATAAGTCCACTCACTCCAGGTGGGAAGTTTAACGCGGGGTAGTCTGTATGCAGGCTGAGCTTCCCTGAAGTGTAGGCCACATTGTTTGCCATGGGTTTGTCCTGGACCTGCCATGTATGCCTGGAGACAAAGATAACATTCATTAATAAACCCCACTTTAATTATTCAACTGTGGCTTCAGAAGATCAGCAACGACAATTAGGCTGCGAGGAGAAAAGGATGAGATGAGATGAACTTCGGAAAGGATCCCTGAGGGGAAACTGGGCAGCTTCACAGGAACGCTCCGGCTCTAGACTCTTAAGCAGATTCTTCATTGAGATGCAGTGCGAGTGGAGCACTAATGAGGTAAAGTTATCTCCAGTGTTCTGTTTGCGTGCCTCGTTTTGGACGAAGCCTGAGTTGTTAAACAGTTTCGCTGACGGCAACGCTCCGAGTTTCAGTTTGCAGACTCTTTACTTCCTGCAGGATGAGCTCATCTGGCTGGCTGTGGAGAAAGCTTTATGATCCAAACCTCTGTTTTGGCCGACTGCACCAGGTAATTCCTCAGGCTTAAAAAAAAAAAAGGATGGAAGACCTTTAGGTTGTTTTCCTCGTCTCTGTCCACAGATAATCACCAGTGCAATAAGTCAAAGCGATGAACCTTGGTGTGAGGAAAAGGGCCAACAAACRCTTTAGCCTCTGCCATCCAGCCAATAAAAACAAAGCTATAGTTTAAAGCTAAAGGACATGTTTACGTAAACAGCACTGGTGTGATGTCACGCGTTCTGGAGCRGGAACATCACAGACTTTTACCCGTAAAACGTCAGCCGCAGATAACCGATCCTCTCTGCGAGCCGGGCCACTTGGCCCTGCTCTGCAGGAGCCCCCTTCAGGTAGACGATGCCAACGCGGCGCAGGGCCAGGAGCCAGGCGAGCGCCGCCTTATCGTCGTGGAGCACTTCCTGATAATCAGCTGTGGGGATACGCAGCTTGGCGTCCCAATAATACCGCTCTGAAATGAGAAACAGAACACAGAGAAACATAAAAGCTGWACAAAAAACACCAGGTCTGCAGGCAACGTTTTACAACATTCCACCAATTTGWCATTTTTGKTTTTATTTTTTTGTATCYGACCATCTTTTTCCTTTCACGACACCCAGATAAATCACAAGTGGGAGACACAGATGGACACTGCTCAGAGATCATCCACGCGAGCTGAACCATGTTGATAAAATGGAGCCGAGCCAAGCAGATGTGCAGCATGTGGAGAGTCACGGACCACCACAACACATCTGACATTTAGGGGGGTTTGTTTACCAATTCAGGCTGCAGGTAAAAGGGCATCAAGACAATAAGTACGCTAAGCATTTTCTTCACACTTTTCTCACTACTCCTTTTCTCTAGTCTTAAAAACCTTTAAGTATTTAAGTATGACAGATTTAATGTTTGTTTTATTCCATAAAGGAAGCAATTAATCTACAAGTTAGTAATTGCTTCGTTTACTTAGTGGAATTCAATACATTTAGAAATGTAGCTGCACTTTTTGGAGATGAATGGCTCACTGTTTGTTGGGGGGACGGCATGTCTCCATTAGACAGACCGAAACGGGGGGGAAAAAATCTTCCCGCTGCTCTCCACCCAGCTGGCTCCACTCCCTGTTTTCCATGCAGCATCTCTCCGGTGACTTCCTAAGAAACAGCTGCTAAGTACATCTGTGGGAGGAGGAGGGTTCGAGGAGGAGACGGTGTACCTGGTTTATATTTATATTGCCTCCTATCTTCTGTATTCTGCCAGCTTTAAAAAAATAATGACCTTCAAAATAAAAGAAAAAAGGCAGTGTCACGATCAGGAGCGGGTCGGCCMTGTCGAACTCTGGATTTTAAACTCATCCAACGTGTGCAAACTTCAAAGAAAATGTGAGCGGCGTGCAGACATTTGGGGGGGGGGGGACAAAAGAGCACAACCAGTGATGTGGAACTTTTTAAAGGCAGCAAGGCAACAAAGAGCAGACACATGCTACATCAGTCAGAAAACACAGTGATGATGGTGACTCGCAGACCTCCCTCCAGGCTCTTGTCACAAATGATCAGTTTCTGGCTGCACAACTCGCGAGGGTCAAGCGCCCACTGCTCGTTAAAACATATCATGAGGGTGGAGGCAAACAAAGAGAGCATGAGAAACGGGGGCAGAGGTCGAGCCTGAATGCTACAATTACGTGTGAAACCGGAGCTGAATTGTCTTTGTGCGTGCGCCACAGCTTTACAAGCCCCTCGGTCCAGGGTGTCCATCGTGTCAAAGAGGCTGCGGCTCCGGTTGTGACCTGCATATACATCAGCCGTGCAGTCCCAGCTGATGTACATCTGAAAACTCATCACGTTTGCTGCTATAAGGACAGTTCACACTGCTGCCTTCAGAGCTGAACAAAAGGAGGAATCTTTGAATGAATTTCTGTTGTAGAATCATGTAATCAGAGCCTTGTAGCAAATTGTTTTCAATCAGGAAGRCTAATCACCAGGATCAAAAGAAAATAAAAGCCTTTTCACCTAAATGTCCTGATGCATCTCAGTAATTCAGGTAAAAAAATCAAAAAGAAAAAAATTGTRTAGGTCTTCTGGACGGGTTCTTCTCTAATGAAATGTTTCGTCTCTTCTCCAAGAGACTTCTTCAGTCTGAGAGTTTCAGGCAAAATTCAGGCTTTTCACCTAAACTGTAAGATATAGATCTTGTCAAGTTTTGTACAGAAACAATTCACCTTTGGTTAAAAAGTACAATAATGTAGAAACTATACAAATGTACATGTGCGAGACTGGTACTAGCTCTAATTTACAACCCTGTTCAAATAATGTGGAACACTAAGTGCAGTCACACTGGTTCATCAACCCTTGCTGTTGACACTTTGTAATGTTCAGATTGGAAGTTCGAATAATGTGCAAAAAACCGATGAAGTTCTCATGTGAATGTTTATTTCAGTGGGTCACTCCTGACCAATAGTATTTATAGAAAACCTGGTCACACCCCGGATATGATGTCATTCCCCTAAAACAAGGAAGAACCCTTCAAACACTTTTACATTCCTGAAATATAAAACATTTTGTGTTTACCCTGCTGGAGCGAGGCACATATTAAATAGAGACTTGTTGATTCMTTTACTGTTTAACATCAATGACTGCGATCAGTCACAAAGTWTAAAATATAAGACTGCGTCTAAATTAAAATATCCAACAAATCTCTGTTAATGAAAGCATATGTTGTTCTAAAACATGTATAAAATTTTCTGCATTGACGTTGCCTTTCCATATGTACACTGCCCACGCCAAAGAAACCAAAGTGCCCCCATACCACCGGAGAGGCAAGCTTTTGACCTGAGCTGTGGATGATGGGATATTTAAAGAATGACTATATTTATGTTGTTATTCTGAAATTATTCCACTGATTATAGATGCAGTTTATTACTAATAAACCTCTGCCCATTTTTACAGCCACTCTTCTTGCTGAAGAATGAACCTGTTGCCTTTTAACCAAATTAGTTGCAAAATGTTTCTCCAGCTGATTTTTTTCCCCGTACCACACACTTTTATATTTTGTTGCCTCTTTTTCAACTTCTTTGTTGCTACTATCAAAATCAAAATGACCTGATAAAGTTACTGAAGTTAATTTTAATGTATTCCATTGTAAAATAAAAATCTGTCTATATGAGATTTTTAAAGCATTGCATTCTGTTTTTATTTACATTTTACAATTTGACCCAACTTTTTCTTATTTAGGGTTGAAATACTCCTAAGTTGAAACGATAGGAAAATATGTGTTAGTCTCACCATTAAACAATCTTGTGTTTTATATTCAAAATTGATACAACTACCATTTCTACAGAAAGATAATATCAATTCACTGCTTGTTGCTTCTACCACAGCCAAAGCCTGTCTCTGCTTGTGTGTCGGTCCACTGAAAATAAATGGGTTCCTTCTTTATTCACACATCATTTCTCCACCAAGTTTCACAGACAATTAAACTTTTCATTTGAATGGAATATGTATTTTTTTCCCTCAAATCATTTGTGCATTACCACAGAATTCCTCAAACAACCTAAAAAAAAACAGAATTAATCCAGCATTATTTATCATTAGTTCAGTTAAGACAACTTTAGCTAAAGAGATTTTGCATTTGCAGATATTTGCATCTGAATGTACAGTACGACTCTGTTCTGAGAACTTGCTGTCCTTCTGTAAGCGTACAAGGAAAGCCTGAGGCAGTCAGAGGCGCGGCGCAGACCCTTCATGGTGGGGAACAGAGCAGGCGTCGCTGACAACAGACGTGACATTGAAGTCACACACAGTATGAAAATAAGGAGCAGTGGGAGCTGTGCAAAGCAGCTTGAAAGGAAGGCTGCTGAAGTCAGAAGGCTCCAGCATCTTAAATAGGACACTGTGTGAGCTGGGCCCGTAGGATTTGYAGAAGAATATCAACTCAGGTGATAAAAGGATCAGACAGTATACTAGAATGGGGACTTTAGAGGAATAGATTAGAATTTCTTTGTGTTTTTATTTACAGTAAATTTAAATGTGAGGTACAACTCTGCCCAGGGACACATCAGCCGACTAGGAGTGTAACGATACATCGATATATCAATTCAATGATTAATGGCTCAATTACTTTAGGGCAAAATGAGAAAATCGATCCATATCAGCGTCTTCTGCCCGATGTGGATCAATATGAAATCGATCGCAGGCTTGTGAATTGAACTGAATCTAAATCATATCATGACTATAGACAGACAGAATATCATGTCATCATTCAAACACATTGATATTTCATATCGTGATAAATCTGGTGGTTTCCTGACTTCAATGGAAATGGAAGGTCCTGGCAGAGAAGAACAGCAGCGTGACCGTATAAAGACACTTCCTGACACCTTTCAAATTATATATATCCAGAAGAAAATGTTAAGGTAGGGAGAGCAGGAGCAGCAGCAGGAGGAAATAATGGGACCTTCATGGAGTTGGACAGGCCTTCCCAGAGATCTATGCTGCACTGTGAGGCTGCCAATGCTTGGCTCTGGCCTTGCAGTTGAACTGGGAAAGAAAAAAAAAAGGGCCAAATGGTGCCAACACAGACATGGACAGCCCTGGGACTAAAGCAGAGTTTAGTGATTAGTTTTATTTGTTCTCTTCTCCAGAGAATGGAAACAGTACTTTTTTTAACAAACACTTTTGTGTGCTTCAGATTGCTGAAGCTGTAAATCCTTGACACAGTCGATCTTGTCACTGATCTAAATCACTAATGGGGATTGATGTGACAAGCGGCAGAATAAGTTAAAGCACATATATAAACAGCCTGGTTCTCATGTGAGAGGATGTGAGAGCAGCATGGCAGAACAGCTGAGTGCCCGAGATCAAGAGTTTGGCAAGTGGTCTGAAAATTAGATTGACAGATAAGATTTAGGTCACATTCTCCTACTCTGCAATAAATGTGACTAAAATCTCCCTCCCCACCCCTTACGCTGCCGATTTCAGAGTCCGCAGTGGCAGAAAGACCAGGGAGGGAGAAGAGGCTGCCAGCTCTAAAACTTAATACCTTTTAAATTAAAAAAAATAATAATTAATAAAAAAATAAGACAGTCCTATCCTAATAC